GATTGACTGGGTATAATGACAACATAATTGATTTATAAAGCTCAGAAGTTGGTTTGGGATTAATCCCGCCTTTTCAGACACTTTTATATCTTTTTGGATATTCTTCTGATCTATATTAGATTACCAAGGTTACCTGCTCTGGTCAGATGAAACTATCAGGCCTTGACTCATCGAAACACCACACCTCTGAACTCTATACAGAACGCCATTGTACGACACATAACCCAAAAGCATCCGCACATTGTGCCAGCCATGCCATCGACTACGCATACCAGGTACTGAAAAGCAACGAATTCAGTTTATTACTACCCTGGTCGCAGTTTCAGTTCCCGGGGGGAGTGGGGGGGGGGGGGTACTACCCCCAAACTTGGGTGGGGATGTGCCGCTGGGACATCAAAACCCTGATCCTGTTCCAGAGTGAAATCGCTGAAATCTATACCCTGTTCCAGAGTAAAATCGCTGAAAACGATATCCTGTTCCACTGAGAAAATCCAGCACTAGCTTGCATGTAGACCGAATTTTTACCCCATGAATTTTTATCCAGCATCAATAATTCCGGAAATAAACCCTGACCCTGTTCCAGGGAAAATTCGTTGGAATCGATACCCTGTTCCAGAGTAAAATCTCTAAAAATGATACCCAGTTCCAGAGTAAAATCGCTGAAAACGATACCCTGGTTGGCGGCACGTCCCCGTATAGCGAATATAGGGGAGTACCCCCCCCCCCGGGTTTCAGTTTCACAAGTTGTGATATTCAATATGTCATAGGCTTTCGATCTAGAGAACGGTATTCAATATTCATGGTAATACAATATGGCAGCAGTTCTGGAAACCAAGGCCCGTTACCTGCTGACCACCTTGTTATGCAGATGGATATCCTCTCTGGAAGACCTCGGCCAGTCAATGGTATCGGGATAGACAGTGGCTTGTTATCTCCACGTGGTTGGTGGCATTTGACAACAGCGAGAAGAAAACTGAACTTCAGCAACAACAACAGCATCTGAAGGCAGAACCAAGAGAAAATAACTACGAATCCGATATACACCCTTTTAATAAGTCCCGATGTATCGAGTTCTCCGCACTTGACGTCAAATTTATTCTTTTGAATTTTTTACAATACAAAAGGAATTCAAAAGAATAAATTTGACGTCAAGCGCGGAGAACACAATGCCTCGGGACTTATTAAAAGGGTGTATAGGGTACAAAGTGTCTTGATGGGAGCATTGGGCAAATGCTTCGACCTCCTCCTCTAAGGCTTTCGCACCGGTAGCATGTATTTCTCTTTGATGATCCGGTGCAGGCGGGATGTTTTGCACTTTTCAAAGATATCATGTTCACTAATTACTTCTTTCATCGAGGTGCAGTACAGTACTTTCAACTCGTGACTTAAATTCTTTCCTTTCATAATTGATTTATGGAATATTTGACGATGAGTGAATCTACTTCAAAAAACGTCGGTGAGAACGGCAATTGTAGAAGGGAGATTGCACAAAAGAAACGGAATATATTTTACACTGTTACCCATTGGATTCACTTTGCATAGAAATGGAGAATAAATGGAGGCAATGTTCCCAACAGACTATCTTATAGTATAAATCAGTTGTTATTTCTCATCAATTAGCGAAACCCATGTCTACTTTCGGTAGTGCAATCGTCGTTCGACAATTGACATTCGCCATTTTTCCTACAACCTTTTTTGAAATGGATACCTATACAGTTCTAAATGAGTTATTTTTGTTTAACCATTTCATGAGCAAAGTTTGAACAGTTTGAATTTTGAAACAATCGGCGGCGTGCCATCATGAGCCCTGTTCAAAAAGCAGTCTAGGCAAAAGGACAAAGCCATACAACTAACTATCCTGTTTGAGCCGACTTTGAGCTTGACAACCCTAAAGACCCGTTTACACTTGCGATTTTTACAGAACGATTCTCGCGGCGATCGTCGCGCGACCATCACCTGAGTTTCGAATATGCCTGAAAATTGGTTGCAACTTCGCGTCGATTTTCCATCGCCGCAACAATCGCAGGGCTGTTTACACGTACGATTTTTGTTGCGCGATAACAAAGTCATAAAAAAATAGTCGCCTTAAGAATACCTTACCTTGAACAGGGGCTGAAATTGTCTGATTTTCTCCTCCGCTTCTTGATGCCCTTGCTGTATGCAATTGCATACGTGTCACTGATCCACAAATCTTGAACTGACCTGGTAAAAGTAGAACCCAATACCTCTATTTCGAGTAGTTTCGGATGACAATAAGGTCTGAATGGGGTTAACCGACTAGCGACAAACGGACAAAATTTACTGACTGGTGACATCTTTCTAAAAATAAATATTTCAGACCTTGCAATAACCGACTTACGATATTTCGCTTAACCATGCACAATAGAATTGAAGACGAGGCTCCGGGGAAGCAATACAACAGCACTGGACAGTTCTCCGACAGTTCTCTCTAATAGGATATAGAATTGAGAATGCACGAAAATACAGCATTCATTGTTGTAATTGGATTAACTTATCTGTTGCATGAAAAATCCTGATAAATTAATCTTTATTTATTTATCCAATTACGGGTTGCTGTATTTATTACTAACATTGTCCATTCTGTAATATGGGCGACTTCTGTAATATCCGACATTTTGTCTCAGTAGTCACACACAAGTGAATCAACTGATCGTTTTTCACCCATTCCCATGAGATTCAAAAGATAAAAGACCTGCGGCCATATTGGAGGAATGAACAATAGCAGAAGTGACAATAGATACTAATGAGAAATGCTTTGTTAAAGTTTCTTCCAAGATGGCTGCGCTGTGACGTAATGTCAAGACGAGGCGCCATGCATAAACCTCAGTCATTCGTGAAAGGACAAAAGAGTATTCACGATTGACTGAGATTTTTGCACGGCGCCTCGTCTTGATTCTTTTGTGTCGACTATAACTGTCCTGGGGCCCTAGGGGATTTTTTTCGTGCAGACTCTGTTTTCATCCTTTGTTGCGGTTCACGAAACACGCACGGGCTCCTAGCTGTGCTCAAAATTACAAAACTAATTTTTCACTCCCTTGAAACTGCCCGAGCATACAGCCCTTTGATTGGACGCTGCTGCGTTGTTCGGCGGCTCACTCTAACGTAACACGACTAGACGGATTTGACGAACATCGACAAATATTGATTCATGTCGGTTCTTGTTAGTTATTCTTCAGGTGCTTGAGTGAAACGAGAATACAAGTGCACGTTTTCAATCATTCTCTACTCAGACATACTAGTATGTTGTTGTTCGTCCGTCGTCGTCGTGCGCTTTTCGAAGGAGATCATTCAACATCATAGGAAAATATTCATAATCATGGATTTTGAATGTGAGACGTATTTACTCTTTAAGACGCACGGTCAAGATGACAATTCACTTCTAATCAAACAGAACCCTGAGTTTAAACCACAATTTAATGGCACCGTCTTTTCACAGCATTTTTTCAAGAAAGATATTTTAGTCAGGCTTACGTGACAATACATTCTAAATCATGAATCCTTGCTTCAACACATATTTTTTATTCATTCATTTTATTCCTTGAAATACACAGATTTTTCATTTTCTAGAGAAAATGAAATTATTCGAAGGCAGGACAGAGGATTACAAATTTAAAATATAAAGCGAAAAAAGAAAAAAAAANGTGATATTCAATATGTCATAGGCTTTCGATCTAGAGAACGGTATTCAATATTCATGGTAATACAATATGGCAGCAGTTCTGGAAACCAAGGTGTGCATGTTACCTGCTGACCACCTTGTTATGCAGATGGATATCCTCTCTGGAAGACCTCGGCCAGTCAATGGTATCGGGATAGACAGTGGCTTGTTATCTCCACGTGGTTGGTGGCATTTGACAACAGCGAGAAGAAAACTGAACTTCAGCAACAACAACAGCATCTGAAGGCAGAACCAAGAAAAAATAACTACGAATCCGATATAGGGTACAAAGAGTCTTGATGGGAGCATAGGGCAAATGCTTCGACCTCCTCCCCTAAGGCTTTCGCACCGGGAGCATGTATTTCTCTTTGATGATCCGGTGCAGGCGGGATGTTTTGCATTTTTCAAATATATCATGTTCACTAATTACATTTTTCTTTCATCGAGGTGCAGTACAGTACTTTCAACTCGTGGCTTAAATTCTTTCTTTTCATGAATGATTTTGGTATTTCACGATAGGTAATCTACTTCAAAAAACTTTGTCGTGGAGAACGGCAATTGTAGAAATGAGATTGCACGAAAGAAAGGGAATATATTTACACTGTTACCCATTGGATTCACTTTGTATAGAAATGGAGAATAAATGGAGGCAATGTTCCCAACAGACTATCTTATAGTATAAATCAGTTGTTATTTCTCATCAATTAGCGAAACCCATGGTTACTTTCGTTCGTGCAATTGCCGTTCGACAATTGACATTCGCCATTTTTTCCTAACAACCTTTTTTGAAATAGATACCTATACAGCTCTAAATAAGTTATTTTTGTTTAATCATTTCAAGAGCAAAGTTTGAATTTTGAAACAATCGGCGCGCCATCAATGAGCCCTGTTCAAAAAACAGTCGAAGCAAAAAGGACAAACCCATACAACCAACTACCCCCTTTGAGCCGACTTTGAGATTGACAACCCTAAAGTTAAGACGGGAGGCACAGCTTCAATGTTTTCTTCGTAAACTTAAGAAAAAAGGTTTCTTTGAAGATAATAACAATTATTTTAATATTTATCCTAAGGGATCTCGTCCATCTAGAATTTATGGTCTTCCTAGGTTACATATGATTAAAACTCCTGGGTTCCCACCACCATTTCGACCTATCGTTTCTTCAATTGGAACCTATAATTACAATTTAGCTAAGTTTTTTTGTGGTCTTCTTACTAACATTTATACCTAACTAGACTCCCCTGGGGCGTGAAGTCGGACTAGGCTACTTTTGAAAATTGATAGACACGAGTGAAAAGATTATGATGTTATATTTTGTCTAATCATATGATATTATGAATGTAAATCAAACTTGAGAAAAACAGCAGGATATTACATAAAAGATAAAAATTAGATTAAAATATATATTTCTTAATTTTTCTCCAAATAGCCGAGCTCACGGTCTAATAAGAGCGTCTAGTTCAAAATATCCAAACTCTCTTGAGACTAAAATAAACTTGACCTAAAAGGCCATGTAATTAATAACAGCAATGACCGAACGTTTTAAAGGAGTCCTTGCTTTCACTGATAAAATCAAACGTTSGTATGTAGATTATGTGATGCTAAGCTAGTGAACGTTGACCTCTCAGGCCCAAAAGTAAATGATACCATAAAATCATAAACTCGTCTTTTTGTTATTGATAAAAATGTTTCTTCTTGTTCTAATTTGAAATCTTTGCCCACACAACACTGCCTAACGCTATAAAGGCCATTGATTTAGTTTCGAAAGCATACTACTCGAAGCACCAAGCGATCTGCACATGCGCGTACTTATGATACCTAGACTGAAGCATTCCGATGAGATCACAGATACCACATTTGTAAACGAATAGTTTTTTTGTCGTATAAAACCGCGAGTAGCATATAACATTTACGAACGATATTCGTACATCAATACGTTTGAGCTTCCGGTAATGTAATAACACAGCCAACTCAATAGTTAATTATTAAATTCTTAACTTCCGGTGGTCCAAACACGACATGATACACAGATAGATTGGCTAAAAGGTAATTTTAAAGTCGGACCTCGCCTTCGGCTAGTCCGACTAATAAGCACACTGCAACTGACACTTTTTCTTTTGTTAATGATTTTCAATCTCTCACTCGTCATAACAAGTTCTTGGTGTCTTTTGATGTTGTAATAAGTCTTTTTACTAACATTCCACTAACTGTTCAAACTATTAACATTACTGTGGATTTAATGGTTATGAGCTAAAAATAAAAGAAGCTCTTTTTATCAATCATTTTAAACCTGAACTTAATACTCAGGTCAAACACTATAATACCACTATCCACTTGTAATCTCATCTCTTGTTTTAGTTTACTTTTGACCGTTGTGATTTAATCATATTATCTATTGTAAAATGTAATCACATTCAAACTGAAGATGGCTTTATGAAAGTCGAAACATGTCTTTCAAATTTAAAAGTGTTGTGTTATTTTTAAAAAAATATTGCATCACTTGTGCTTTTACGCTCGACCCTAAAGTCCCGTTTACACTTGCGATTTTTGCAGAACGATTCTCGCGGCGATTGTCGCACGACCATCGCCTGAGTTTCGAACATGTCTGAAAATTGGTTGCAGCTTCGCGGCGATTTTCCATCGCCGCAACAATCGCAGAGCTGTTAACACGTACGATTTTTGTTGCGCGATAACAAAGTCTCGATTAAAAAAATTGTCGCCTTAAGAATACCACCAAAAAAGCCTTACCTTGTAGAGAGGTTGAAATTGTCTGATTTTCTCCTCCGCTTCTTGATGTTCCTGCTGTGTGCAATTGCATACGTGTCACTGATCTTCAATTCTTTAGCTGACCTGGTAAAAGTTGAACCCAATACCTCTATTTCGAGTAGTTTCGGATGACAATAAGGTCTGAATGGGGTTAACCGACTAGCGACAAATGGACAAAATTTGCTGAGTGGTGACATTTTTCTAAAAATAAATTTCAGACCTTGCAATAAGCGACTTGCGATATTTCGGTTAACCGCGCACAATAGAATTGAAGACGAGGCTCCGGGGAAGCAATACAACAGTACTGGACAGTTCTCCGACAGTTCTATCTAATAGGATATAGAATTGAGAATGCACGAAAATGCAGCATTCATTGTTGTAATTGGATTAACTTATCTGTTGCATGAAAAATACTGACAAATTAAAACATGAAGAAACTGGAAATGACGATTGTATTTATTAGTACCATTGTCCATTCTTTAATATCCGACTTGCGCATTTTGTCTCAGTGGTCACAGGCAAGAGAATCAATTGCAAAACGAGGCACCATAAATAAAGAGCTCATGAAGTCATTCGTGAAACGACAATTTTTGCAAGGCGTCTTGATTCTTTTGTGTTTGATTACCGAGCCGAAATTCGCATGGATTTGACACTTTTACAGGATGGATTAGGTATATAACAGATATAAGGGGATTTTTTTGCGTGCAAACTCTGTTTTCATCCTTTGTTGCACGGCATC